ATGTATTAAGCTATAATACTAGTAGTTAGTCGGTTTACTAGCTGGTTAGAGATTTTAAGTCTCTTTTAGCTTAATCATCTTTCTATATATATGTGTACAGTGACATTTGTTTTTGGTTCTTTTAGTTAATAACAAGCAAAATTTGGCCGTTTCTTCTTTAAAAATGGCAATTGACTACATCCTCAAGACATAAATTGAAAGAGATCATGGAACACAAGTATAAAACGATAGATTTTTTTTTGTTTGTCTATGTATGTTTATCTTTAGAATGAAATCTTTGTAAGTAAGCAAGTGTTATGACAGTGTATTGAACCTTTTTCAAATATGATTTGCAGATGTATAAAATCAAGGCGAGTTTTCTTACGAAACCCGACGCGACTTCGAAATATATCCGAGGATTATTGACCACACAAGGTCCTATTGGGAGTATCGATATTGATGAGAACTTTAGTCGAACTAACCACGTAAGTAAAACACTTTTATGTTTTATAATAAGNAAAAAAAAAAAAAAACAGTTTGACCGAAACTCTCCCTCTTTTGCCCTGGCCAAAAAGATATCCGAGCCTCGGTTTTTTTCTTTTCCTTCCCACCTACAAGTGTTATGTCACTAACATAACTATGACATACTAATTAATTTAAATACACTTTAAGAAAACTAATGGGCAATGGCAATAAACAAAAGGGATATCACTCACGTACCCATATCTGAGATACTAACAAGTGTTATGTCACTAACATAACTATGACATACTAATTAATTTAAATACACTTTAAGAAAACTAATGGGCAATGGCAATAAACAAAAGGGATTACGTTACATATCTCAGATATGGGTACGTGAGTGATAGGTTTTTGTCAGGTAGCAGTAAATTTGTTTGATGAAAAACGTTTTTATATATAGAATAACAGCTATGTTTTTATACAGTACAAACAAAAACACACTCAAGACGATCATATACATACGAGTCTACGAATTGTTCAAAAAAAAAACATAGTCAATAAGATAGATAAATCGTAAAATAACATAGACAATAAAAAGATAGCATAACACTAACAGGTTTTGCGACATTTCGAACCCAATGAACATAACTAATAATTAAGTGTAGTAATTCTTTGATACACTAGATGCATCAGCAAACGAACCACCCTCTTATGTTCACATCATCCTCCAAGGCAGCTGCATCCCCATCGCCTCTGAGCTTATCATACTCCACCTAATAAGGTTAACTCCACCACTCCAACTATTTCACTTAAACGGGAACCCATCAAATAGTAATGCAATCATATGCTCTACTTCCTCATCATCATTTAAAACTGATAAAATCTCTCTTAGTTAAAAGTTAAAACTGATTCATTTAAAAGATACCTAATTTCAATATGCAAAAACAAAAAATTTCAATTTGTCATATGTATAATAATACTACAACTATACTGCCCAATTACAATACCAAATAAAATAGTATAGTCAGCGTCACTTTTAACGTAAACATTGACAACAAGAACAAAAGCAAGACATTTGTGGCCAGTTTTGTCTATATTAGTAGTAGTCACAAGGCTGATTACTAATCTCTGTGAAACAAATTAGCTTCAGATTCGAACAAAAGAAACAAAGATTACAGAGAGCAAGAGAGAGAGATCGAGCTCACCTGTAGAGAAAGCCTTGACAAGACCAGTTCTTAAAATTGCGAAACACCTCTTCGACAGTGCGAGGTAAATGATTCTGAAATCCCTCCGTATGCTTTCAACCTAGGACTTTCATAGAAGATCACGTCGGAGAATGATATCAGACTCACAAACGCCGGTGGTGATGAGTATTCCGGCGAATCGAAAACCCAGAGAGAATGCATCGAATTCAGGTG